ACTGATTCCTTCAAATATATGGACACCAAATGTGCATCAATCTACTCCACATGCTTTGACTGAGTAATCGAATACTATAATAGTTTTATTAGTTTGCTTGTAGTAGCTGGTGAAATTATAGACACACGAGACTTGTTAAGTTGTGTCTCAGGTGACGGGCGCATTGGCAGTGCCTCGCAAACCTTTGCGATTTAAAGCTTTGAATTCTGAAGACTTTTCAAGTGCTAAAATCCTGAATTCTTATTTTTTATTTAATTGCGGTAAACATGCTTGATCGAAAGGCCATTGACTTGCACTATACGTGCCACAGGTACCGGCAACGATTTGAACATTGACCTATGAGTTAGTGCAAACAAAAAACCGCTACCATGTTCGCCAAATTTACTAGATATAATTAACCAGAATATTGAACAGAATATTATTTTTAATATTTTTAGATGATTTAGCATTATTTCTATTATTAATTTCTTAAATATGGCGAGAATGTAAATCAACACACTATATAAGCGGGTATCGCTACCGCTATGGGTAGCGAAACTTTCTTGATTTTCATGCCGTCAGTGAATAAGGTCACACTTTAACCACGCGTAACGTGTAATCTCAACAAATTTATCATTTTAATGTTTCGATGTGATGATCGCAAAGGAGTCCTGCCATTATGTCAACTAATCGTCACTACTGACTTACGGAGTGTATGTAGGGGATGATTTAGCCGCTTCTACCGCGCCGTCCGGCGAAACCAATTTCGCAAAGCAAGCGAAAAGACACCGCCAACCTGGTCACAATTCAACTGCTTTAAAACCACTACCTACCTGGAAAATTGATAGGGTACTGTACGTGAACCCGGGGTGGCTCACTCGAAGCACTAGCCTCTTGAGAACCGGATGAAGTCAGTGACAACGGTCTGTGACCCTGTACACTGACTGATCTGGGGTCAGAACCTGAACTTAGAAGGTTCCTCTGCACGCACAGGTTATAATTCCCTTCTCGTGTACTCTAAAGATCAGTAGGGATACTGTAATCAAAACTTAGAAAGGCAGGCAATTAATTAATTCCATTGAGACTTCACAGCGAATATATTGCATTTAAGATTGTTTGTTATTCTGCTAAAATCTAGTTGCAATGGCAATTGAGTATAGAGTGTCAGTGGAATGACAGTGATGGCATGTATTCGTTCCATCACTAACAATCGATGTTGCCTTATTAAAACTACCATGGGAATTATTATCCACATCTTAATTTTTATCACCTACCGTCTTGTTCAGGTACTCACCGGACACGGCTGTTTGGGTGACTATCTGCACAAGATCGCACGGAGGGAGGTGACCTCGGAGCGTCACGAGTGCGGCGCTGCTACAGACTCGGGCACACCTTGGAGGTGTGCCCGACCTGGAGCCAGCAGACGAGACCTCTCACTGCCCAGCATAGTAGACCAATGCTGGGAAGCGAGAAGTCATGCCAGGTGATGGTCTCCTTCTGCGAGTACGTGATGTCGTAGAAAGAGACAGCCGAACGGGTCCGCGAAGACAGCGCCCTCTCGGACCCCATTCGGCGTCGGCGGAGAGGACGCACGCGACGGCTCTTCGCCGACCGCCTGCGTCCCATCAACGGAGACCAGCAGGGTGCGGGGTTGGGAGACCCTGCCCCTGCATTGCACAGGCCTCCACCGCCGGTAGATGCCCCAAACTTTCTGGGGCATCTCCGTGCAGGTAGCCCCCATGATTAAGGGGGGGATGGTGTAGGGGTCCGTCCAGAGGCGGACCAGCACCACCGGAGTCGCGGTAGCATCTGAAAGGGACCCCGCGGCTTCGGCGCCAGGTGCGCGCAGGAACATCGTGAGGTGGGTATGCTCTTGGGGATCGACATAGTCCCCAGGAGAGAGTACCACATATCCCCGCCGTCTCCCAGCGGCGGGGAATGCGTAACGCATTTTCCTCACGATAATAAAAAAAAAGGTTAGGTTAAGTTAGGTTTAAAAAAAAAACATTTTCCTCTTAAAATTACTTTCGAGCTTATGAAATTTTGACCAAACGTTATTTCTGAAAAATGTTATTTCGGACAACTGATAGGTAACCCTCGTTTTTACCACAATTTTCAGATAATTAAAAAGTACCATTTAAAAATCTGTTTTCGGAACATTAATTGTTTTTTTTAGTTTATCGCTTCTTTTTATCCACGCACATATTGATTTCTCCGTTGTATAGTTGTATAGGTTTTGGTACCTGTCTAATAAATTATAATTAAAATTAATAATTTAACTTCACCAACAACGGACTTCACCAATGGATTACTACCCGAGCTGTGAAAATTAAAATAAGTGGTTAGACGGAGTATAGATGGAGTGTCTAAGACGGAGTAACCAAGTTACAATAATGATAGTGACATGGAAATATATGTAAACAATGATAATAATAATAATATTTATTTATTTTCGCTAACAAAAGCAGCTTAAGAGCTAATTAATATCTATATTATTACGATTCTGTCATATCCACTACGTAAGTGAGTGCCTCGCACCCGTGGTAGGTTTGAAGCATCGAGTACATAACCAGAAATAGAGACGATATATCATTTAATTTGTTTGAAAACTATTCTGAGTTTGATTTCTGCCAAATCACCTGCCTACAGATTAGACGTATGACACTGTAGCCGCGTCACTACTAATTTTCATATGTACAATATTTTGTATCACAGTTGCAGCGCCACTGTCGTGTCACGAGACTTCGTCTGCATGACGTTGATAACGACCTCACAGCAGTCGAAACCGACTTCATGCCGTCTCATCTTCTTCAGCCGAGATCGACTGCATGCAATTAATACCTGAAGTCCTTATCAACTACAGCTCGCTAGTGAGTACCCGGCTTAAGGTTACTCGGAAACATCGAGTATATGACCAGAAATAGAGATGAAATTGATTTCATTTGTTTGAAAACTATTATGCCAAATCATTACTGTGACAAATGCGCTCCAATTGGCCACGAATTCAAAACAATTCGGTGTCGTCAATTGTTTCACTTCAAATTTACCACTTTAACTTGAGCTTTGCTGTAATGGACGAAAATTGAAAACATTACATATTTGATTTTAACTACCGATGAAAATTGATTCCGTTTGTTTGATGTTTTGCTGTTTTTCTCACACCACCGAATGCAACAGCTCCCCATTATTAGAGATATATTATATATAAATACAGAATACGTTTGGAATATACGGACACGTACACACAGGTCAGTTGTTGGCCCTGTACTATTCCAGCTTTCTGATTTGTGATTTCAGCGCAAACGAGAGTTGATGTTTAAAAGTGATATAAGGCCCATTTGCCTGATAGATGCCAGTGTTGGATGGCCCTTATTTCGTCTCTATTTCTGGTTATATACTCGATGGTTTGAAAAGACTATCCTACGGGTGGCCAGACTCTCACTCTTCGATCAAGAAAACTGTGTTTAATTCTGTAATTAGCTTAATTTTACAATATTATTATGTTACATAATTTTTAACATTTAAGACCTGAAATTAATCTAAAAGTTTTATATGTGATATGTATAATGTAATTGGTGGGTGATATGTGATTGTAATGTTTGTGTTATTAAGGCAAGTCACCGAATGAGAAGCGAAAAAAACTGTTTTGCTCGATCAAATAGTTGAGGTATTTACTATTAAATAACGATATAAAAAAATAAGCAACACACCTAAGGATATTGTCTAAATAATGTGCTGATGACACGATATAATGTACTTTTTCTGATCCTATAAAATCTTGAAACAGGCTAAACTCAAAGTTTGAACCGAATTTATTTAAGAATAAAATAAGTAACTATGTACATAATTTTTATAATAATATGGATATATTTCTCTTTAAGTACTTACTACAGAAAACCTGCAAAATTTTGGTTTTCAACCGAAGCCAGGTATTAAATTCACTTTATCCCAAAATTTGCAAATTGCCCAGCGGTTTAACGACACGCCCGGCCGCCGCTGCCTGGTCAGTCGCCATCGGGCGCTTGTCGACGTCATATCTGGGTCAAATTTTCTCCGCCTATTCTTTTTTTTCTTCATATTAATTTACAGCGCGCGGATTGCGGGACCCGAGGGGCGACCCTCCACACCTCACCTCTTAAAATCTAGGCACGCGTTGAAATCATGTTGAAATGCCTCGCCTTAAGTGCAGGTTATATTAAATTTATGCAAAAAACGTACTGGTTTTAAAAATATATATTTATTCTAAATATGAATTGCACACCTATTGAGAGAAACGCTAAGGAAAGTTAAGAACGACCATAAATAACCTAACCTAACCAAACCTCTGTACAGAGTATTAAAAAAATCGACCTCAAACGTCATTCATCCCCTAGTTTACCACCCTTAGAGGTCGAATATTTTCCTCAAATTCCAAAAAAATCGGTTCACAATTGGCGGAGTTATCGCGTAACATACATAAAAAAAACAGTCGAATTGAGAACCTTCTCCTTTTTTTTGAAGTCGGTTAAAAAGAACGACTTCAATCTCATCACGTCTTTTTTTTCGATTAAATGTTCGTGTATGTGGCTGTGTGGCTAGTGCCTCTACTATGAGATTACAATGACAGTTATCACTAGCGACCGCATAAAATGTTTGTATACAAAATGTTGTTTCTTCTTGTGACCGCTACGGGCGCTGCATAATTTGCCATACAGAATTGTGAAGTAATTTACGCGGTCGCTAGCGACAACTGCAACTGTCACAGTAATCTCATGGGTGAGGCACTGTTGTCCCATAAGAATATTAATATATCGAGTTCTTAGGTTTTCGCGATTGTTACACATAGGAAATGAAACTATTTTTCCGGATTTAAAAAACCCTTTAAAAAAAAAGTTTCTTTGAAAAAACAAATATACGCGATTTAAATCCGGAAAAATAGTTTCATTTCCTATAATGTTAATATATCTTTAATCCGTAAATATATTTTTAAGTACATATTTTGTTTTGATTTCATTTTTAACCAAAATAAATAATACAGGTTTTTTTAAACACTAACACTTTCGCAGGACGCTATTACTGACATCATAAACAACACCTTTTGTTCCTTGACTTTTTATGACGGGATTTAATCTAAAAAAAGATTAAGACAATAGTGAAGGTCTGTCAATGGGAATCGGATCCAAGTACGTATTCTCTCACTCATCTACAGTGCTTAGCGCTATTGTTTCATTAAGAGATTTCCGTTTAGAGTCCTTTGCCGTACTGATATCTGTTATGGTGGTGTCTTCTATAGAGCTTTTCTTTCTTCCTTGAGAGGTGGTTGTTGTCGCCGCGGAGGACCTGCGACGCATCTTCTCTACCAATTCACTTTTAATGTGCAACCTTAAAAAAAAAGAGCCGGTTATCATAAGAAGTTATAAAAATTATAATTTCAAACGCATCCTCGCCTGCCTACGTAAATATATTTCAGGGACCAGATTTGTGGATGGTAGCCAATAAAGAAACAGCCCCATATCTTTCTACATAAGTTTTGTTTATAGTGACCCTCCCTATCAACCTCTTAGTTATGCGGGAAGGGCAAGGAAGCCCGCACAGGATCTGACTTTGATGGTTATCAAAGTCAGATCCTAACCCAGATCAGTCCGTTTGCACGGACTTCATCCGGTTCTCAAAAGGCTCTAAGTCCACTACCAAATCTCCTCTTTGGTGGCGGAGTTGTAAGGCATGTTCACTTCCCGACGCCGGAAAATGGCGTCTCTCCAGTTCCCATCAGCCTAAGCGTCTGGAGGGATCGGAGGATATCTAGCTTATCTTATACGTATTATCTTCTACTAGCTCTGAAGGCTAGTGCCAGATATTTAGATGCATTGTCCTGCAATCATGTCCGGACATAGCTTTCGACTTAAAGGGCAACTCACGTGTCCCGCGCGCCTTCTCACCTTAGGCCCTCGTCCAGACTGCAACTAAGACGCGCTAGCGGCGCACGGGATGAACGCCTCAGCCACATGCTACCGGGGCAGACAAACGTGTTCATCCCTGCAGCTAACCACAAACCCAGCGAGTCCATTCCAATGTCCGGGTCTACCAGAGACGCCCCTGAAGGCGTATTACTGGCGGAGGTCTAACATCCTCTGTACCCTGGTCTTGCCAGAGATCCCGTAGTCTCTCCGGAATACCATATCTCTCGGGTAGGTAGGTAGGGGCAACCCAGAGGGAATCAGTAGAGATTTTTAGTAGCAGTAGAGCTTTTTGTGAAGAATGTCATCCAGAGACGCACCTACTACCTACCGCACCACCTTACCTATTTCTACCGCCCAGCAATAATATGAGAGTTACGTTTCGGTTTTGAAGAGATATATAGATTTTATGAGACTTGTCAACTTATGTCTCAGGGTGACAAGCGCAGTGACAGTGTCCCTCATATCTTTGCGATTTAAAGCTTTGAGCGGCACTGCAACTGCTATGAACAGGCATGTCGCTTAACATCAGACTCGACAGAGAGTTCCGCCACTTGGTGTCATAAAAAGAATAAAAAATATAAGATCTGTTAACTCGGTCTAAAGCTCAGTTGGTAAAAGAAGTGGCCCCGGTGACAACTGTCTCTGGTTTGAGTTCAGTCGGATTAATATTTATCGGAATGAGTAGAAAATTTCCCAAATGTCGAAGGGACATCAGCAAACATCCCCCTACTGATATCGGTGACCTGAGGTTTGCAGTGTAGGCATTTATTACAAGACTTTGTGCTTAGAAATGTTATTCGTATTTATGATTAGAGCATTCAAAATATTATTGCACTTGTTACCCCTGTTTACTGCCGCCGTTAGTTGAAAGGGCGCATGTGGCTTTTTCAAAAAATTTATATTATATACTGTGGTGACCAGTAAAAACAAGGCCGATCTGTCCCTATTTTTATTTTTTCCGAAGTGGATAAGATATGAAGTTACCGCAAAAGATAAGTAGATATTGTTTTAATTCAGTTTACATTCTTTTCTTGGTTTTGAGTTTTTGTCACAAGCGCCTTTCAACTAACGGCGCGGCGGCAGTATAGTAGATAATAAATTGTTAAAGATTTGGATAGAGGGAACTCAGTATTTATTCTCTATTCTGATGAGAATGCAAATTCAAGCTCTGAGTAGCTTCACAATCTCACCTACGATCGATGATATTAAAATATTAGTTTTAGTAGATTCTGCTTGCTCATACACAAATTCACATACATAAATTACACACATAAAAATACACACACACACACACTTACAATCACACATAACACAGTATTAACGTGCTTATTTTTTTTTCTCTTCTCGCATTTATTTGTGTATTCTAAATTATGCTAGATTCGAATATTTCACTCTATTTATTATTCGGCAACGACGAGCGTAAACGCTAAACACTGTCCGCGAACGGGTTATACATAGGGCGCACTATAAGTTTAGCACTGGCCACTTACATAAACAATATTTAAAAAGTAATCACAGCATTTGTAAATGGAACTCTTTAGCTGTAGAATAAAGTTTGTTTTGTCTGACTGTCACTTGTTTTTACATTGTGGCGTCATTTTAGAAATAGGTTGTCTACATCACCACGGACTTAACTCGTGAAAATTTTCGTAGTAAGATTTTCTATGACTTTAAGTGTAATTTTACAGCTCAGCGGAGGTTCGCTCGGCTTCAAACTGCATTTGGCAATGAAGTACCATGCAAGACGACTATTTATAGCTGGTTTGCAGAATTCAAACGCGATCGTGTGAAACTCAGTGACGAATTTCGTGATTCACTTCCGTGAACAACAAAAACATCGATGCTGTGCGCCGTATGATTAAAACAGACAGGCATGTAACATACCATGAGATTCGGGGATCATTATGCATAGGCATGAGTCAAATACAATCAATACTACAAAAACATTTGGGTGTGAAAAAGCTGTGCTCTCGGTGGATCCCACACAATTTGACTGAGGCTCAAAAAACGGATCGCGTCACTTGGTGCAATGCTATGCTTACCAGATTCAACGAAGGGGCGTCAAATTTGGTGTGGGACATAATAACAGGTGACGAAACATGGATTTATAGTTATGATCCCAAAACAAAGCAGCAATCGAGCGTATGGGTCTTTCGAGATGAGCCGAAACCAACCAAAGTGGCCCGCGTGCAAAGTGCCTCTAAGCGAATGATTGCTTCTTTTTGACTGAAAACTGGACACGTAGCTACTGTTGCTTAGGAGAATCGTTGTACTGTGAATAGTGATTGGTACACGACCATTTGTTTGCCGGAAGTACCGTATCACCGGAAACACCGTATCATCTTGCACCACGATAATGCTAGTTCTCACACGGCCAGACATACAAATGAATTTTTTGAAGCTGAACAACGTTGACCTTATGAGCCATCCCGCGCACAGTCCCGACCTGGCACCTTGTGACTTTTATTTATTTCCAAAAATTAAGAACCAGTTACGGGGTCAACGATTTTCATCACATGAAGAGGCTGCCGAAGAGTATGAAAAATATGTTTCAGAGATTGTCACGGAGGAGTGGCATAAATGTTTTGAAAATTGGTTCATTCGTATGAAAAATGCATTAATGCTAACGGAGAACATTTTGAGAAACAATAAATACATTTCTGACTATTTATAATATTTTTTCTTGTTCATTCCGGAAACTTATAGTGCACCCCACGTACCATTTGCTAACTTGACTCGTGTCGGTGTGCCATCATTTAATGTAATCAGCTGGTTATCGACTAGTGCATCAAAAATTTGTAGCCCTCGTCTGTCAGTTTTGCGTGACCAATTAGAGTGGTGCCCATTGAAATAGCCTAAAATTTGAGTGTTATGGCACCCTAAAGAAAATATATCATCCCAGTCCTGAACATTCCTTTGCCATTCCATCATTTCCTAAGTTTGAAACTTACATTAAAAGTATTTTAATTGAAAAGTCATATTACAAAATTGAAGAGTATGTTTTAGATAAAGAAGTATGGAAAAGACAACAAGAATCTCGATTCCACACAAAATTATGATGCAATTGCTATTCCATAGCATTTAAGTTTATTTGAAAAGAGCGATCCCTAGAGTTTCATGCTCGTTCTTCTCAGGGAGGTCAGCGTAGTGAACGAGCAGTAGTTTAAAAAGTAGCTTAAAAAATACGTTTTCAAGTGTAACAATTTTGTCTATGGAACAAATGATTATTTGACCATGACTTTGTTATCGTGGATTGTTGACCTTTTAATATTAGTTGTACTTCATTATTTAAATTCACTCGCAGAAAAAGTAGTGTATACAATCATTACATAATTAGGTCTTAAAATCTCGTAATTATTACATATATATTTACTAATATTACCTCTCCGCGAATTTTGTAAAAAAAAGTAAGAAACAAAAAGCAAAATTAATTTTTCGATAGAGCCAGTTTTAAATAAGAAAAACCGCTTTGAGAGCATTTCATTCGTTTGGAAGTTACGATACCACAGACAAAGGTTTCAAACATATAATTCACCTCTTTTGCGTCGGTTGTCATAAATGAATCACAGTTTGGATTATTTGTTCGCTGATTGCATGTTTATCACTGTTTTTTATAACAAAACTTCCAGAAATGTGCGGATGTACTGATTCACTCCATTCCGAAGTGATAACAATTGACATAATAAGCAAAACTATAGAAAGATTATTTACTCGCTGCAAACTCGGTCATAAATTATCGAAGCGGGACCGATGTTGCGGTTTCTCTCTCACCTGTGTAGTGACGTAGGCACATGTTCGTTATCGATAAAAACAAATGAGGTCAATAAGATGGTCGGTGCAGTACCTTATGAGTAATTTATGACTTGCTGTTGTTTAAATGTCGCAACCTTTATTCACATATTACATACCTACTCGTAATATTAATGCAAACCACCCTATTCTGAACCAACTGTAATTGTAGTTTTAGTATTATTAGTTTTATTAAATATCACGGTGTTTATTAATACGATAATAAGATCGGACACAATCCATCTAGAAATGCCACCATCTAGAAATCTATGAAAGTTCTGAATGACTCTGCCAAGAACTTTAGAAGTATCCCATTGATATAAGTAACTCACAATAAAGTATCTCACTGATAATGTTCTATTTATAATTTTACATAACACAACTCATGGTATGCAAAACAAATATAATTAATAAGTACTATAATATATGTATATTCAAGATGTTGTTGCAACTGCCATGATTCTGTAGCGCTTGGGGTGTTCGTCGAAAAATGTGTCGGTAGGTGGGTTTGCCGTCATCATGCGAAAGAGAGCGGCATTCTTGATGCGCATAATGCGTGGCATCCATAACGGCATTCTGAGTCTCAACGCTCTCAAGGTCCTTGATTCATTCCTTGAAGACCGAACCAAATATCACGTATACCCTGAACCTAGTCCATATTTTTAAGGTATAATTACTAACATAAGTGTGTAAGTTTTTGTTTACTGAACAATATGAATCAATAAATCGAAATAAAATATTTGTAATTTGAAAAATATCAGATTCTTACCGGTTGCAAACCTTCTCGATAATACTCCATTTGACGACGAAGATAAAGAAGATGGCGACGCCAGTAAGGCCGTTGTACAAGGCGGCTACGAACTGAAGCCATGTTGGCATGGTCAGCGTCTCGAAGATCCAATTGATACCCATGACCAAAGAAAGCTTCAGATAAAGACAAAATCTGGAAAAGAGAAAGATTTTTGTCAATAAGCCACACTAGACTTAACAGTGTTTTCATTTGTTAAAGATTACTTTGATGTTTTTTTTTATAAAAAATAAGTACGCATTTGACCTCCATCTCATCTGATGGAAAGTGACGAGGTCGACGATGTAGCAGGCACACCTAAGTAATGCCTATTCACGAGAGTGAATAGGCATTATATATCCCCGAACGCTATAACTTGGACCTTTTCAAGGCCCTCGCCTTGTAAAGTCCGCAGGTAGGGAATTCCACTCTCTAACCGCTCGCCATATAAATAAGCGAAACGCTTCGTGCGAATCCTGGGAATATCCACAACATAGGGGTGGAATCCCAGCCCACGTCTAGTCCCTCGATGATGGAAAGGGGAATGCGTAATCAAATTGTGCAATTCCATCGCACTCTCCGTGATATATCCTGTAGAATACCGATAAGCAGGCAACAGGCAGGCAGGCGGTGTTCAAGGTTCTGCAGCTTCGCCTCTGTAATTCCGAGTCACCTGGTAAGCCTCTTGGCACGCTTGTCAATTGAATCCAAGGTGGCCAGTTGGTATTTAGAAGAGCCATCCCATAAGTGGCAGCAGTATTCCGTAAACGACCGCACGATGTACATCGTCGCAGCTAAATTTTATTTATTATATTTATACCACATAATACGTCCACAATTGCGTTAGTTACTCTTAGCCTACATAGAGTAATGGTACCAGTGATTAACATTTTAAAAGAAGAGTGTCTTTAAATTTGAAAAACTTTTATGTTTTTGAATATATTTAGTAAATCAAGTATATTATACATAAGTATTACTTACATTGAGTTATTCTTTATTTCATCACTAACAATGTTTATATATAGTATTTTTTAAAAGTATCCCTTTAATAAAGTATTGAGTATTGAGTAAATTAATATCAACAACAATACAGGCTAAAATATAATGGTAGAATTGAATACCTTATTGAGTTGTCGTTGTATTTGTTTTTAAGGATCTTGTTGCTTCTGTTGATCCTCCAGATGTTGAAGGCGGTCATTAGGAAGAAGATCAAGTTGATTAACAGCAGAATCAGTATCGGCACGTAGAGGTAAAACCGCAACTCGATGAGATCGTCCTCTGATATAAACAAAGGTAATAAAATGTTAGTATACTAAACAAAACTAATAGATAATAAAATTACAACTTTATAAGAAACCGACCTCAAAAGTTACTGGAATGTGGAATATGTCAAGTTTTAATGAAATCAGTAAATGGAAAGTGTACTGTACTATTGTACTAGGATTTAAGTTAAGGTGGCTTCCCACGGCCTATGAATTCACAGGCCATTCAACCCTTCGCGCCAGGCTTGAACAGCATCGGATCTCCGCCCGTGGTGACGAGGACTCCAGTTTGTGTCGCGTGTTCTAATCTGTTTTTATCTGAGAGGCCCTTATAGGCGAGTCCGTGGTCGGCACGCGCTGCACGCTTCCCGCGACTAATAAAGCATGAAACACACAGAGAGCGGGTGAGTCGGGTCGGGACCGCGGCGGGCCTTATTTCGTGTATTTATATGGACGAAAACCACAGAACAGAACATACGGTAGAAGGGGTTAGTTAGCTTCATATCTCGGCCACGAAAACATCAACACGTTTGAAGCGTTATTCGCTGAGAGCGTCAATTTCTATATATTCTATAATAAATAGTTCAGTTCACTGCAATCACGCGTCATCATTACACGTGAAAATGTCGCTGTCAAAAATATTTAAATATTGTTTTAATAGTAGTACTTTTTTCCACAAGATACTATTAATTTGCGACAAGGAGTACAGTCCTGATCTTATGTTGTGGATGTGAACTCATCCGCAACGCTGGTCGATCTTGTACTGCCGTTATAAGTTCTTCTATATTCATAATTAAGTAAGCGAAAAGCAAATAAAAACAAAATAGATGGTTTTAAACGCTGACGCGCGGCGCGACCGCTTCTGATGTCGGGGCGCTTGGAGCGACTGTTTCGTGCACACTATTGAGCTTTCTCGAACAACTGTTCTGGCCGCCCGCAAAAAACGCGCGTCAGATCATCCAACGCTCGTGCAAACCCGCTCGTAGCGAATTTCGCTGCAAGTTGCAGCGCTACTTTGTGGCCTTTTACCATTGACTTACAAATAAATGGACGACGGGTCTAATACAAAAACCACGAAAAAAATGTCCCAAGTCAACCTATTTAAACGTAGTGACATGTAAAGGAATATGAAAAAGCTAAAACGTTGAATTTAAATTGTAATGTCATCGCAGTACTGTCTAATTTTGCTTGCTTCGCTGTCAGGCGAACAAACGAAGACTAAAGCGTGAATGACGCTCTGTATACGATTTTAACGCCCTATAAGTTCGGACACTTTTTAGCGCGGACCCGACGTCCATATAATTGTAAGTCAATGCCTTTTACAAATAAAATCATATATTTGTAATTGACACTCGACGCTGACGCTTGTAGCGTCAAGCGAATTCGCTAGGAGTGTCGCGGCTCGTGGTCCTCGAGTCACAGTTCACACGCGTGCCTAATATATCTATTTATTAGTGAATAAATAGGTATCTTAGGACCTATGTGAGGTCACTCCGCCATTTTCGCTTTTTACGGAATGGTTGTGTCAATTCTTTCGCGTAAATTCTATAAAATCGTAGAAAAATGCCTTATTATGTTGTTTTGGAGTGCAAAACTGGTAGCCGCACCAAAAACTTATTTTAATTTTTTTTTGTTTATTGAAATAATTTTTTCATTACAAGAAACGAAAGTAAAGCTTATTTATTACCCCAGCAATATGGTCGCTTCTTTTTTGGAGAACTAAAAATTCTCCGTGATTTAGTAATTAACCGCTAGATGGCAGGACATTGATTGAAATTTTAATTTAATATCAAAACGTCGTATGCAGTAATAGGTAATGATGGTATTGCACTTTCAACGATATGCCAACAGGGTAAAGTTTAAATTATATTAAAAATCCAGAATTTTAATCCAAAACTTCATTTTAAAACTACGACCAATCATTATAAGATTTCGAATGTTTCAAATTAAGAATGTGACTTTTTTTTTCTTCCGTGACGACAACACACCGAGCGCGGGCGTGAGACGAGAGTCAACGTTGTTTTGTCTCAACATTATCAAAGTTAATTTAACACAAATCAAACATTAGCCCAGAACAGTGTAATGTGTCGAAGCAACGTGACTTCTTTAGTAGGTCACTGGATTGCATATTGAAGGAAATGTTGAGTAGGCATGAGATTCTTTATATTGTAATTGAATTATTAATTCACTTCTATTTGGACCATGAACGAATAAACACACTTTTTAAAATTGTTCCTGTTTCACTATACGTCGCTAATCAGATGACATCCCAACTACCTCAATGCACAACCAACCTAATATGAGATGGCGACCCAACCAACCGCAACCTGTGAACTTCGTGAATTACTACTGCAACACCCGAATACTGCCACATGACTTGACGATTTCAACTCAAACCACAACATCATCAGAAGCTGCCTGCCGTCATTATACTTCATCATCACTGATTCTTCAGAATGGATTCGACGTATTATATTACAGAAGAAACGTCACATAAAAGGAGACTGCAAGATCCAAAGTAAGAAGGGTTTCAATACTAGCCCTTCCGCCGTGTTCTCGTCGTAAGAAGAGTCCAGGGTATAGCCCGGCCCATGTAACAGCGGTATCCAGGGTAATCCCGGCCCACGGCCCACATAGCAGCACGTGCATCATCAGCGCAGCCCAGGTTCCGAACAGCAAAATGCAGTTCCAGAGAAGTTGAAGTTCAACGACCCGTGACTACATACCACATTATGAAATGCGCGAACGAGGTGTCAAATTTAACGCAGTAGACATTGACTTACAAATAAATGGACGACGGGTCTAATACACAAACCACGAAAAAAATGTCCCAAGTCAACCTATTTAAACGTAGTGACATGTAAAGGAATATGAAAAACCTAAAACGTTGAATTTAAATTGTAATGTCATCGCAGTACTGTCTAATTTTGCTTGCTTCGTTGTCAGTCGAACAAACGAAGACTAAAGCGTGAATTACGCTCTGTATACGATTTTAACGCCCTATAAGTTCGGACATTTTTTAGCGCGGACCCGACGTCCATATAATTGTAAGTCAATGGCAGTAGACAAGTAAGTGCAAATTTATTGTAATCGAATGGACCAAGTAGGTTAGGTATTCATTCACGTTTTACTTTTTTATTTCCGTTTATATTTTTTTAAAGGTCAATTACATGCGTACTTACTTATTAACTTACTTTTTACTTAATGATTTTATAAATTGTAATGAAGTCTAAATTATATAATATATTAGGAGGTTTAAAATATTTGCGAGAATACATAATTAAGTTAAGAGAACGCCGTGATTCTAAACTAGCTTATAATAAATATTTAGAGGCTAATGAATTATACGAACAATAGGAAATGAAACTATTTTTCCGGATTTAAATCGCGTATATTTGTTTTTTCAAACAAAACATGGTCAACCGTGACCATGGGACCTGTAAAAGGCCCGAAACGTCGGTTTGTTTGAAAAAACAAATATACGCGATTTAAATCCGGAAAAATAGTTTCATTTCCTATGTGCAACAATCGCGAAAACCTAAGAACTATTTATACGAAGAATTTCAGGAAATTGTACCCGACATAAATACTCGTAATCTCGCGGATCAAATAAGTGAATCCGATTGGGAGATTATAAATAGATATGCGAAAGAAATACTTTCTTTAAGAACTGAAATAAAAAAAATGACGTATAGGCCTAGTGTAGAGGAATCCGTTTGCAATTTAAATCCTCAAGAACCAGTATCAGATACAAAAATAGGTTCTTGTTTTGATATTAAAACGGCTATCGCCTTGATACCGGTCATGAACGGTCAAGAAGATGTAACTAAACAATTGATAGCGGTATTCAATTGTACAGCTCTATGATTGAGGCTAACAATAAGCAAGCTCTCATTAGTTTTGTCTTAAAAACTAGACTGTCACAGAGTGTTAACTTAGGTTACAATCTGCTGACATCACCGTAGATGACTTGATTGTTGATATGAAGAAGCTTGAATTAAATCAAAAGAAATCACCAGTTGCTCTTCAATCACAATTATTACGTACCAAACAAGGAAATAGGTCGATAGAAAGGTTTGGTATGGAACTAGAAGAATTGTTTGTTAGTTGGACTTTAGCCCAAGCAGATGGTGATGACAACTGTTTTAACGTTCTTCGCCCTCTGAACGAGAAATTAGCTCTGAAACGATTCGCAGATGGTTTGTCAAACACACGTCTTAGTACGATAAATGCGTCTCGTAATTTCGAATCATTACCGGAAGAGATCAGAGCCGCGGTCGATGAGGAATCTCTATCATCGCCACAGAATCATGTATTAAATGTTAGAAAATATAATAATGGCCAATCACGTGGACGAACTGGTTACCAAAACAACTACAAACGTAGTGGTACATCAGGTCAGCCCAATTTTGTGCATCACCGTTCCAATCAGTCACGAAATGTTAATCGAAACATTAAAAATTATATACATATATTATATATATAGTATATTAAAAATTCTACAATAAATTTAATATAACGTCATCAAACAACAACAAACAAAAACAAAATTACATAAACATGTAAGTTTGTTTGTTGTTTGATGACCTCGATTTGTTGTAACATTTCGTAATGTTATGGTTTCATATTGAGGGCACGACAATAGTACATAGCTGTGTACATTGTATACAATGTATTAATTAAGAATTTGTTTCAGGATAATTCCAATGAAATTACGTAAGAAAAGTTAAACAAAGGGAGACAGTATTGTTATTTATGATCTGCATGAATACTACTCGTAAATTACTTACACAATAGTAATGAATAATATAAAATAAGTAAAAAATAATATAGTGAAATAGAAAAGCCGAAAGAGAAATTCAATTTCACATACATTAAAAAATGTAGCTACTTAGATATTGTTTAATTTCGTAATAATAATAAACTTTAAAATGAAAAGGTACGATAATAAAAAATATAGTAATGAAAATACCAGTTTAAAGATATATAGGTACATATATTTTTTATAACATTAAGTGACGGCAACAAGTCGTGTGCCTGATACTGTACCACCCAGAGCTTTAAATCGCAAAGATGTGAGCTAAAAGACGAGCTTCCAGGAAATCATGTGAACGAAGCATAAGAAACGAAATGCTTGAGTATTATAGCAACTGGACGCAGATCCAGTAATATGGTAGAGATTACTGCCTGATGAGCAAAGTACTATCCGCAAGTACTATCCGCAAAGTCGACTCGTCACCGACTTAAGGATTATTTTTGCATACAAGCAACGACGGTCAGTTACGCCCACCCGTAGTTTACTTATTCGTATCAACTAATGACGTTTTTATTAAACAAAATTTTAGTAGCAATAGGGCTCCTAGTGAAAGAGTTCGTCCAGGGAAGTACTGCCACCTTGGCTATATCTGCCGCCAAGCAGTGAT